GAAATAGCAGGAGACTTTTCTATTGACTTTCTAATAATACATAACTGCAAACCAATCCATAATGAGCACTTATCCTTCTTTGCTTCCTTTTTTGCTCTGATGCTTCATGTCTGATATTTGCTTGGTGAGTTTTTTTTAAAGTTTAGAAATTCTGTTGTGTTTAACACTTTGACTTCCTGTTGGTGTAGTTTTTCTCTCCAAAGGAACAAACGGATGTAGACTGAAATCTGAGCCCTTCAGGATCCTCTTAAGATCTCATATATTACAGCAAAGACACCCCACATTTAAATTTATCCAATCTCTCACCAAATCATAGTAATGATGTCCTCAGTTGCTTTGGTCCATGTGTTAAATCTGTGCTTTGTTTATACACAGGATGTATGACTTCCTTCTCTTATTTTGGTAGTGAATGGTAAAACAAAATGCCATGAAGGAGCTCCTGGTCATGCCTGTTTTGGTCCCACAAGTGGCATTTGGTGATCTCCATCTCAAGCCTCCTGTGCTAATTTCTTAATCTTCAAAGTTTCTGACTTTAGATGAGTAATTTTGAGTGCAATGTATGTTCCAGGATATGTCTTGTTTAACTTCTCAAAAAAAGTGATTAGAATGAAGCACAGTGTTTCATGTGTGGTTTTAAAGCAGAGGAGTCAGTTCAGTTGAGCTAGACATTGTTTCTGAAACATCCAGCACCTTTTTTAGATTGGGGAGGAAACTAAGAAATAAGAAGGGAAAAAACAGCAGATTCAGCAGATCTTATCTCACTATTTCCCCCTCCTGTTTTCATTTGCACTTCCATTTCCATGCAATATTTCATTTCTTTATGCATCTATCACTGTTTGCTTCTGTCAGAAGTTCAAAGGCAGCCTGCTTTCATAAAGGAGAGGCAGTATTGACTGATCTATAATATTGTTTCTACCTTTTTTGACCAATTCTCAATGCATATTTTGAGTTTTGAGAAGCATTTCATGAGTCACTGGGCAGTTTGAAAAATCTATAGTGTAGGCTCATTACTTTGCTGGCTGCTGAATGTTTTCCATTGGTTGTGTTGCAAGGCAAAAATGCAGCCCTTTTTCTCAGGAAAAAGAGGTTAAAATTTCATATACACATAAATAATAAAACAACACATGGAGGTTATATCAGTGTGATGTATTTCATTTTATATATATTTTTGACTGCCCTGCTGTCCATTAATCCACACAAATTCCCATCATATTCCAACCTCCTTAGCACCTTTAGTCTTGCTTTTCTAGGTAGTCAGTCAAAAAAAGTCTCCCTTCTTTCCTCTGAAATGTGGCACTCCCAGCCATCCTCCCAAATGTCACTGGCTGCAGGCCCAGGACAAGCACTGTTCTGTTCTATGCTGGTGATCATGGCTTAAGCTCCAACCTCACGAGGCTGCAGAAGTGGGAGCTTTACACCTCCAAGTGAGCTCCTTGTCCCAGCAAGCAGAGATGGATAAAATGGCTGTAGGAGTTTATTTCAGTAGAGCCAAGAGGTCCAGCTCCTGGAGACAGATCCAGGGCTTTACAGATCACAGAATATAATGGAAATGACAGAATGATGCAACTGACCAGGAGTCACTTTTAGATTAATTTTAAATATTTTACAAATATTTTCTCATGTTTTCTGCCTATCAAATCTTAGTAACTCATTCTGCATTTCAAAGGCATAAGGATATCAAAGTGGTCCCGATACAGTTAACCCCACCCCTCCAATCTATTTTAAGCACTTCTATCACCAATATTTTTCTGAAAAACACCTTCATACACATAGTGTGATGGGAATGTATTTAAGTGCTTTCAGCACTCCTGCAGAGTGACATGCAGAACTCACCTAGAGTTTAACTACTTATATCACACCAGATCCCTTTTCTTCTCACTCTTTTGTGAAGGGTAGTAGATAAACAAAAATTCCCTTTTTCTTATTCTTTTTAAAGTTAGGCACAGATCTAAATCAGTTCTCTAAAATATTTTTTTTTCCCAGCAAAAGAACCACACTGCCATCAATGAGTCGCAAAATAATTAAACATTTAAGACTGTCTGGGCTTCTGTTCGGAGGAGGTGACAGGGCTGAAGGGTAGCTGCAGCTTCCAGTTTAGAGGCATTCTGTGTACTGACTGCATGTGCAAACACTCTGCCTCTGGCCATGGTGGAAAGGAGACAGGCACAGCGAGATCACACAGGTGGTAGACAATGCACTTTGGGAAAACAACGTCTGGATCATCCACAGAAACACCAACCATTGCCCTCATGCCGAATTCCACTGAATATTTCCACTACCAGTTGCTGAGGTGCACTGGCATGGAGGCTCCTCCACTCGAGTACTCATTGCAGGCTGACCATCATGTGGAAAGTATGTTTATAACTGTGCATTATAGTAAGGTGTAAATTATGCCATATAATCTCTATAGGAACTTCATGAGAAATCAGCCATAGCTTCAAAGGGTTATTTTATATCTATCTAAGGAAATCTCTGAAAGACAAACTGGACTAAAATGCATTACAAAAAGGGGATTATTTCATACATCCAGACATCTCAGGAGAAGTTGTCGTTTGAGCGGTTTTATTTAGGAATCAGTGAAAGAACTCTGTAGCTCCAAGTCTATTGTCAGTGTTGAGAGGTTTGTCTCTCTCTGCACCACTACTTCTTTCACAGATTTTTCACTCTGCATGGATTTTTATGTTGTCATTAGCATCTTAGGTCTTCCTGAAGCTGCCACAAGCAGATTTTTATTCCATATGGCTATTTTGTCAGCCTGTAGCTACAAGAAAGATGAAAATGGGAAGGGTAAGTTTGAAGAGGAGACAACCCAGACCATTCCATGCAGACAAAAAGCTCTCCTCAGTCAGATTTGGTTGGAAAGCCCTGCTACCACTCTGCCCCTTTTTCTCCTGGGCTAGGGAAAACAGCTGTTTATGTTTTAATCTGTCTTTACCCCCAGCTCTAAGGAGGAATAGAAATACATGGGTCATTCATTATCCCTTGCATATAGAAAATAAATTGGTTTAAGCAGAAAGTCAAATGGACTTTAAGAAGTTTTCTGTATTGACTCATTTCCAAGTTGATTAAGTGCTCTTAAGTGCAGCCTATGCTCTTCTCCTTGCAAATCTGGCTATTGGGTATGCAGATTCATATTTACATGTATGCAGATTCCAATAGTGTTAAAACCCCCAAACCTCCAGATAGCTAGAACTATTAGTTCATAGGAATTTAAAATTAAATTAAGTAGCTGGGCTGCTTTCCAGATGATTTTTAAAGTTCCTGTGCTTACACAAAAACCTCCATAGGATTTACATTACACTACTGTATTTGTTTCAGTGAGCATTTGACTGCCAAGAATACAGTCTATGACCAAAATGGCAATCTAATTAAATATTTGACAAGCAGAAAGCTGGACATTATTCAAGTCAACCATTAAATTAGAAAATTTAGTTTGTCTCCTGTATCAGTAGATTTTTAAATCAGCCTATTCTACCAAAACCCGTAAGTTTAATGAATTTGGTCAGACATACTGTGTAACAGATGTCTAACATACAGCCAGGAGCCTAAATCATAAAAATGATTCTTCACTTTGGCACTGCAAAATATATATGAAAGACTCAGAAAGGTCAGTCACCAGCAACCTGCTTGCTGGTAGTTGAGAAACAGCACTGTAAAATGCATGAGCTGCCTTCTGTAGTCTCTTATAGGAAGCCTTGGAAAGCCACAGATAATTTGCTTTAATGATTCATCAAGTTGGCCCTTTGTTTCACTAATTTGAGTGTCAAGTGCAACCACATAATAAAGAATTACCAAGACCTGATAAGGTTCTTCTTACATTGCTCTGTTTGTCTGAACAACTGGTGCTGTTGAAACCAACCCTACAAACCGCATAAACAGCGGCTGTGTAACTGGTGTCTTCCGTGGAGTGATAAAGCTGTGTTTACTGCGTTATCCGCTGGTGAACCACACCTTCATCTTTCTTTTTCCTCTCTTAAAAGGCACTAATTGCAGCATGCTGTGTCTATGCTAGAGATGGAATTTGTTTCACTGTTAGTCTTCCAATGAATTAACAAAGATAAAAAATTGATTTCAATGACAATTCCAGCCTTGAGAAACGTGCTATTGTGACCATGGTTGAGTTACTCTGTTGATAGTTTTCTCCTTAATATAATTTTTAATACCACATAGCTGCAGGTTAGATGTGAAGCCATATATTAGAGCTACTATTTCGATGAGTAGTTTCAAGTGAAATAATTTCATGATTAGGAGATAGATTTTTTTTTTAATGCTGTCAGTCTAGTAACTTCGTAGAGATCAACCCTAAAAATGGCTTGTGTAGTAGAGGCACATTTATAAACGTGGGATTCCCACAGCAAAAGATATTTGCAATCTGGGGTCTGATAAACTTTTCACAACTGAACTGTACACTATTAACACAAAGAAAGAATAAAAAACTTTAGAAGGCTGCTTGTGAGAGTGGGAAAATGTCCGCCTTCAGAAACCAGAGAGATGGCATGGGGAGCAAGTCTGTGAGATTTCATTTATAAGATGAAGAAAGCTTCTGTCAAAAGGGTTTGAAACCGGTTGTTAGAGCTTAGGCAAGACTGTGTGAGGGGGCATTGTCAGCACCGCACAAGGAGTTGAGGGCGTCGACTTTTTTACTAATGTGAATTTAAACATTGCCTGATCGCTGCCAGCTCCAGGAAAGCCAGGTAGCGGTGGGAGAACGAGAAATTTTCCGCTAGGGAAAAATACAAATAATGTAACATGAAGGTCGTGCCCCGCTACCACAAGCAGGACAGAGGCCTGGGCAGAGGGAGGGAGAGAAAGAAGGAAGGAAAGAGCTCCAGCCCCTGCCCCTGCTCCTGCTCGCTCGGGGCGCCGCCCGCCCGGTGCCCGCCCGGTGCCCGCCCGGTGCCCGCCCGGTGCCCGCCCGGTGCCCGCCCGGTGCCCGCGGCGATCCCGCCGCCGCTGCCGCCCCCCCGCGCCGCGGGCTCGGCAGCGGAGCAGCGCCCGAGCGGAGGCAGAAGTTAACTTCCACCTGCCCTGAAGTCGCCGCTGCGCCGGCAGCAGGAGGCGGAGGCGGAGGCGGAGGCAGGCGGGGCAGCCGAGGACCCGGCTCTGGCAGGCTCCGAGGGTCCGGCCGAGTGTAATTCCCCCCTAATCCCCGCCACGGCGGCGCTTCCCTGGCCGAGCCATGTCTGCGGCTTCCCCGCCATGCCGAGCCTAGCGGGGAGCGGGAGGACTGGCGGCCGGGAGGCGCACAAAATGAAGACCCTGATGGTAAGTGCATTGTTGGCACGGCTCATCCCGGCTCTGGCGGCGGGGAGGAGAGCAGGGGAGCGGCGCGGAGCGGAGCTGCCCCGGGCACCGTGCACACGCTCCAGCCTTCGCCGGGCTGCATCCCCGCGGCTCTCCGGCATCGCGCGAAGGCGACCGAACCTTGGTAGCGGCGACCAAGAACTTTCCGCCTGCTTTCTTTTATTCGTGTTGCTCGTGGTTTGGGGTTTTTTTGTGTGTGTGCGTTTTAAGGAGCGTACAGAAAACCGATCTGCTTAAAGGACGAGGTATCTGGGCGGGGGGAAGCGCTACAGTCCCCAACACTCGTTAAAATGCACGGAGGAGCTGCCCAAAGGGGACGGCGGCACGGGAATGAGAGGCGCCGGGTAGCCGGGCGCACGGAGGGGAGAAGAGGCGAGGAAGCAGGGCTGGGGGAGAAGGAGGGAGCCACGGGAGCGGGCTGGCGAGGGGGCAGGAGGAGGACGGAGGGGCTTCCCCTGTTCTCTCCTCGCACTTCTGCCGGGTGTCTGGCGGGTGAAACTTGCGGGTGCGCCGGCGGGGAAGCGGCGCGCCCGGCCGGGCCCCGCGGCGGGGGGAGCCCGCTGAGCCGGCCCTCTCTCTGCCCCCCGCAGCGCCACGGGCTGGCCGTCTGCCTGGCGCTCACCACCATGTGCACCAGCTTGTTGCTCATGTACGGCGGCATCGGCATCGGCATCGGCGGGGGCCACCCGGAGCCGCGGCGGCGGCAGCAGCAGGTGGCGGCGGTGCCCAGCCGCCCGCCCGAACGCGGCCAGCGCCACCCGGCTCTGTCCGTCGGGGCCGGCCTCCTGGAGGGCTACATCAGCGTCCTGGAGCACAAGGTGAGCCGCCGGCCGCGGGACCGCCCCTCCTTCCCGGCCCCCTCGGGGCACACCGAGCCCGGAGCTGCCGAGCTCTCCCTCCTGCCCCCGTGAGGTGCCCGGTTCCTCTCGGCGGGGTCGACGTGCCCTGCCTGCCTCGCTGCCTGCCAGGCTTAGCCTGGCCCAAGAGCAGGAATTACCGGGGTCAGGTGCCGGGCTCCAGCCCGCGGTTGGGTATTTATGCAGTGCTGCTTCTCTTCTCCCTTGCACGGTAGAAAGGGAGAGGGAAAGATGAAGTGTTTCTAATGTTGTATGCTCTAGGTACAGTACAAATGTATGTTTAAGATGATATTAGTAAGAGTTAAAGAATGAGGTTATTTACCGGAGGGCAAAGTCAATAGGTAGGTGTTTATTCTTAGCTCATTTTGTCATAGGAAAAATGAAAAAAGTCTCCTGCGCAAATGACCTTTTCATCCCCCCTTCTGGGAAGCAGAAGCTGTCACCCGCAGTTTCCATTCTAGAAATTTGGGGCACTTCTTTAATGGTGAGCAAAATGATGTCCCTCCCCTTGACAGAGGAATTACCAGGCTGTATTGTCAGACTATAATACTTGTTTACCAGAGATAGGCAGACTAAGCTTTGATGGCTCACAGGACAGATGTAGTGACATAAAGCGAGCAAGGTGGCACATCTATGCCAAAGAGATACTCAAGCTTCAGTAGTTTTCTTAGGAGGCAGATTCCTCTGCTTTTTGTTTGGTGTTCGTGTTGTTGCTTTCAGCTGGAAATTTCAAGGTCTTCCTCTTCCAAAACCCCAGATATTGTTTAGTGCACACACATCTTGCAGTAAAAATTCACTTTAAAAATAAACAAGAGGAGTGAGGATTCGCAACTTTCTTATGTTTTCACATCCAGACTGACAACCTCCTGAAAGATATGTTGTCAGACAACTTACTGGGCTCCGTTTGTAGGTACTGTGTGAAGCTCCTAGTGACTTTGATATACAGAGGTTTTTATTGTTCCTTCTGGCATAACTTTCTATGCAAGAGTTATCTGTAGGGATCTTAGCACAGAAAAATAACACATGATGGTGCCTTGTAGGTTTTATTTGCTTTCCTACATGGTTCTCCTGGTAATTCTCAGATGTAATGCCTATAGAAAAAGCAAGTTTGGCCATGGGCTTCCTACTGTCTGACCTGTACTGTTGTAATTCATTTGTTCTTCTTGAACATGACTGTATGATAGGTGTAGATAGATGTGCACATGGTTGTTATATCCAGCAGTAATTGAAAAGACATCTGTGGGCTTTTTGGGATGCATGTGTGAGTAGTCTTCTGATTCTGATGATACCTCACACTGGTTTCTCCAGACTCACAAACACCCCTCATTAACAGGCCATACTTAAAATCACTGTTCTGTTATTTTCCAGGGTAATTTTCATGTTTCCTTGTGTTTTGGAGAAAGATGATCCTTTGGTTTTTTAATATATTGTAATATGGCCCAAACCCCACAGATACTCTATTTCTGAATTTCATTTCACACAGCTCATGCCTCACAGTAATAATCTCCTGAAGGTTTAATAACTTTTCCACCTAACTTCTGTGGGTCAGAAAGAATATTGTGCTATCCCTGCTGTGTTCCCTGCTTGCTTTGTCTGAATTTAATGCACACGAGATCATGCAGAGAGCTGTGCCACTGTGGTATACAGAGCAGTGAGGACACTGCATTACCATAAGGAGACTGGGGAGAAAGGGGCTTTGTCTCTTAATAATGTATTTATTTTTGTAATTTCATTTGGTAGTCCATGTACTTGTCATGGATTTACAATCCTAGAATAGATAGGTTTCATCCATAATAAAAAATGGAGAATGCAAAAAATCACAGAAATTCATGGTTTGAAGAAAGAAGGATGCAGGATTGAGGATGGTGAGAGAATAGGGAGAGAGCAAGAACTGAGGAATGGTGAGACATATTCAGAGAACCTGTGGTTTGGGTGGGACATTGGAAACTGCAGAGAAGACAGCTTGAATAGCAAGTGAAACGAGGGAATTGGGGAAGTTTTAAGGAATGTGAAGAGAGCTGCAGGAAGAAAGCAAGGTAAAATTCTGTCGCTGTGAAAAGGACATGGTATTTGAAGAGATGGGGCGGTCTGGAAGAAGATGAGAAGTATCTGTTGTTTGAGGACAACAAGCTTGCAAAGGTAAGGCAGCAATGAATCCAGCAATGGTACATGTTACTGTGATAGCACAGAGGTGATGGTGTGAAATGACAATGAATGGTAGATTTTTCACAGTATGGCTTCCTTAATTTCCCATATAGAATCTTGGAATTATCTGTCAGGTTGAATGACCTGAAACTGAATGACCATCATACAGAAATCATCCTTGGTATGTGTTCATGCCTGAATGACAGGTGGCAGTAGACTGAATGTCTGGATCATTCTTGTGCTTGTTTCTGGATCCCATAATTTGCTTTAACAGGAAAATCTCCTTTCATGTTGGTGGTGTTGTACCCATTCTGGTGCATTTAATGAGAGTAAGTATGCACATATATGTAGGAGCTGTCTGCCAGCTACTGAAGTTAGTGATCCATAATCACAGTGTGAGTATTGACACATGAGCTGTGTAAGTATGTGGTAGTAAAGATGTTTCTCTTCAGCGATAAAATTTAACAATTGTCCTCATTGTGAAATATCATGTATTACAAATGTCTGTCACTACTAGCAATACAGCTCATTTAGTAGTGCTGGATGATCTGTATGGAGACTATTTGCCAGAAAATCTGGGCACTTAGTACTCAGTAACAATGATTTTGAAATATAGCCTGCAATATTATAATTACCAATTATTTTTCTCCTTTTATTTTATATTCAGTAAGAATTGTAGTTCCTCATCCATACTGTCAAGATAAGCAGGCAGTCTCTGAGAATACAGTAAAATATGTCATTTATTTTCTAGGTTGAAGAGGTTTTTTGCATGAGTTTCTAGTCTTTGCTTTCATAGTTCCTGCAAGCCCATTTTTCCATGAGTCAAGCATCAGAGATCAGAACCCCTGTACTTAGCTTTAGTAGCCTTTCACAGTTTAGCAGTGCATACTTAATTTTTGTTGAGCTGAATTCTTGGAACAAAAAAAAATCAGAAATGCTCTGGATTCAGAGATACAAGTGGATCCTTGTCATTTCACCTCTGCATGTCCCACAGGAACAGCAGTTGACAGACGTTGTTGATGGATGTTTGAAATGAATAAATAGTATCTCTTTTTGTTCCCAATAGCTAGATGTTATATCCTAAAAAAATGTCAGATTTTGAAGAGAAAATATGGTTTGCTGATAGTTGTTATTGAGAGGTGAAGGACTGAAACAAAGGGAAGAAGTTCAAGGAGCTGTTGGCTCCTACAGAGGCACTTTGAGTGTAGCACTGCTTAGCTGCTGCATCTGCTCTGCAGTTAGAAAGGACAAGAGTCCTACACTGTCAAAGTGACATCTTTCATGAATTCTGTGGTGTTATCATGAAATTAAAGAGGTTTTGTCACTGGCATTGAGGGAAGCAGAATTATGCTCTTCTTTGGGGAGGCATGGGGATAAGCCTTTCTGTTGATTTATCATAGTGCTAGCAAGAAATTACAATGCTAATATTTTTAAAGCGATTACTGCATACAAATAAGAGAATGTTAATGAAAGTAGGAAACCTAGCACTATTCCAGAACTTGCAAGAAATAAATATTTAACCATTATATTACGATTCTGAAATGAATGTGAGAACATGTCTCTGGATAGTTAAAAGGCTTTTTACGCAGTATTGACTCAACAGTTGGTGCTGCAAATAAAATATGAGTTTGTCACGTATGTAATTGAATAATATTTCAAGCCATCAAGGATTTTGTTCCTTAGAAAATAAAAAAAAATTAAAATCAATTCTGCAGTCAAAATGTATGATTTATTAGAAATACTTTTAAACACCTTAAGAGCAAATTGAGATCAGCATGATAATTTAAGTGATCACAATGATTTCTTAATTTATGATAATGTGAATTATCATATGCAAAGAAATCTTGATGATCCCTCTAAATTAATGCAGATCAGAGAACAGTGTAGTTAATGAAGTGTTTGAGGAAGAGTCATTCTGCAAATAGTGCTGCTATAGCTCCTTAATCTCTGAGTTGCAAGAAGTTGCTCTTGGGTGAAACTACTTTTTTTGGGATAGTAAACTTTGTGCACTTAAAATCAGATGGGAATCTTGCCATGTTTTATATTATTTTTAGTAATTAAGTCAAATGAGTTTGGAATTTTAATTTTTACCTCACTAAACCATTGACAGTTTGGGGCTGGATAGTTTTGAGGGGCTTCACTAAACCAGCCTTCATAACTAAACATAGAGTTGAGAAGGAATCAAATTATTTTGAAGGTTTTATTGTTTTTTTAATGAATTTATCACAGAACCATAATGTATCTTACAGCAAAACAGCTTGTCTTGCCTGAGGTGGGATCAAGCCCACAGAGTTATGTAAACCATGTACTATGATTTCATTACATGTTCCTATTTGCCACTGAAATTCTTACCTGCAAAGGAAGGAACACAAACTTTATTACACAATTAAGGATTTGATGGAGTTTTTATTATGTGAGAGATCCACAAGGGGGAGACTTTATTCTAGAATAACCTTGTTGGGGACTCTTCCATCTGTCTGAGACCTGGGCAAGGTGGGAGTCCAAAACGCCCTTTGCTCAGTGCTCTCTTGGCTTCCTGGCTTTTTGTATTTTTAGGTGCCATAGTTACCTACCACTGATAAGCTGTAGGTTTATTTAAATCCTTATAAAGTTGTCATCTTAAAAAAAAAAATACCATGACAGTCCGGAAATATAATTGAGTATCTACACACAGGGAGCAGAGACAATTGTTTTTCCAGATTTACACAGCTTTTAAGTAATGACTGTCCTGTGCTTTACAATTTCTGACTTTTGAGCTACTGCAGTAGTGTGCTTTTTCAGGCTTACCTTCATTTTGGTGATCCTTGTCTAAAATT